TCCATGCTAAAACGGAACCTTTGTTAATCTGAATCATAACACTGTAATGCCCCCTTTCACATGGGCAGTTAGATTTCAGCTTTTAGCTGCGGTTAGAGGAACTTACTTACCGCAGCTAAATGAGACAATGTATCCCTATGCTCCATTCACACACTGCATTTAGCAACGTTTTCATAACATACAGTTTTATGTGTTAAGGAAAAATAAAGTTGACTGCGTCCAGGAGTGATGTACCACAGCTATCTGTACAAAAACGCAGTACAAAGAAAAAAAATAAGTAAACAGTTGCATTAGAAAAGGCAAGAATTTACTACCGCAGCTAAATGAAGCCGCATGTAAACGCAGATAATTGCAATGTACAAAACACAAGTGATCTCTGTGCCAGGAGTGTTGGAATTTCAAAATAAAAAAAAAACCTGCATTTACATACAGGCAGATACTTATCCATCATACCATACCTACAGAGAGGGGCGGACTGACCACTCATGGGGCCCCCAGGCAATAAGGGATCATGGGGCCCCTGTGTCCTTGCCCAAACTCAAAAAAGCCTATGAAAAAGGTACCAGGGGCATCTCATGGGGCCTCCTACTGACCCCGGGCTCTCAGGCAGTGCCCGGGTTTCCAAATGGTTAGTCAGAAAAACCGCCCGTGTGAAAGAGGCCTAACACTGAACAGATCCATTTAGCACTGACTTGCAAGGCTTATGCACTATATCTGTGTTTCTAATTCTATAAAATAGATACTTCATAGCATTAACACTGCTTTTCTGAAAAAGAAAAGAAGGAAGAATTCTAAAACCAAGAAAACTAATCATCATTCAGTTCTGCACCAAAGTGAATTCTGATTAGCTGCACTTAAGAATTAACACTTAAGAATAAGAAAACAATTAAATGAATTATGCATGTTAGTAGCAAGTGTCAAAAGAACAATCTAAATAAAATCATAACATTATATAAAAAGCAATAGAAAATGAGCAATAGAAAATGTCCTGAATTTGGGATGAGGTCAGTCCTCTTCACTGTGTCCTACTTGAGCTAAAACTTTATGCATTAGTACTGCTTGGACCTGGAAGAAGGGGGCACACCCTGACAGCTTGTCCTGAAAAATTGTATGTTAGTACGAATAAAAAGGATCATGAACAGTACTCAATTGTCATTGTGTCTTAGATAACTTTTGCATGAGCATTTTCAAAATACCTATGATATCAATATATCGATATAAAAGAGCATTTTATATTGAAGAAAGGTTTGGAGCCTTTTTTTTAATAGTTTAAGCTATGAATTTTGAATATTATTGGACATACATGGAGATGACGTTAAACATATTTACTAAAGTGATTTAATACATGGAATGCATGCATGGAATTTACTGAAATATGAAATGAAATAAAAAGTGTCCCATTCATGGGGGGCTTGAAGGGCAGCAGAAGTATGCATGTTTCACATACATTGGATGTTCACAGGGTTTTTTGGCACATGTAGATGATCCCCTTACTTTAGCATATTCTACAAGCTCCTTGAACAAATGCAAAACAAAACGTTACTATCTTTCATCACTTATGATTATTCTGATGATGCAAAAACATTAAACCTATTTTGAATTTTACCTTAGCCAGCCTTACTTAGACTTAAAGATTTAAGCCCTGTGATCTATGGATAGAGGAACAGCAAACTTCAAAGCAAAGCTCATCAATCCAGATCCCAATTCTTATTGCACAGAATAGTTTAATGTTTATATACAGGCTTAAACCCCTGCTGGGTATTGTACACTGTGCAGTCTATGAGATTAATCATTCATATCTACTGTTTACATGTAAGCATTAGTATTAGAATGTTGCCTCAACATTTATTTTCCTGCATTTACAATTTTAATATGTGGCTCACTGTTATTATATTTATGGTTAAAAGTATAATGGCTTATTGCTAGAAAACTAAAAGATATGAAACTTAAATACATGCAAGTCCAATCACTAAAATGTCATGTAAGCGTTGATATACTTTTATCATTTCAGAAGTAATTTCAAATATTTTTACATCTTACAATAAGCTTTTATTTGAATAATAATAGGTGATCTTACCCTGAATATTCTTTTTCAGGCAGCCCTTGTTATAGGATGTTGCCTTGTAACATTAGTTTCGAAAGGATACCACAACACACTTTCAGTCCACTTTGTTCATGCATGGTCCACTGTTGTCACCACCAGGAAACCCACCCTGAGAAATGCCATGCAGCCATTTGTGGAGTGCATTCATGTACAGAAGGTAGGAAGAAGCTGCAAGAGACTGCAGAAGATCAACAGCACTGAAATGTAACAAAGGATTAAAAAAGATGAAAATAAGTATTTTATTTTTCAAAAAAGGAAAATTATGATTCAAAGTGCTTTATCAAAATAAATGATATTCAGGTAGGATTTACAACTACTTTAAAAGGTAATATGCCATCTATTTCATTAGATTGAGCACATTTTCACTTTTGTAATCCAGTATACTATACAGTATGCTTTGTCATTCCCTATACTTTTTATCAGTGCAAAATTCAGTTTGTGCCTTCACAATGCCATTGGGGCTATTAAAAGTAAAATGTACATTGCAGCTCCCCCAATATGCATCCGCACAGGTATTATATCAAAGGAAGCCTGTATATAAAGACTATGGGGGTTTTCTTAGTGTTACCTCTACTGAGAACACTGGTTGCCTTATGCCCCGTACACACAATAAGAAAAGAAATTTTCGTACGAGGACCGATCGTCCGATAATCGGATCGTTAGTATATAGCTTTCGAGAGCCAATCACAACAATTCATGCAACAATATCCGAAGGGACAAGCGCAACAATTTTTCTCATACGATACCAGATCGTACAATTTTTTGTTTATTCAGTACAGTAGTTGTCTGAAAATACAATACAAATGCATGACATCAGTTTCGAAATTCTTTTCTTTGTATGAGAATTTTTGTATCTTTAGTAACCTCAATTTCGATGTGAGGCTAGCAGGTGAAAAAAATCGGATGATTGTTCGTCCGATATTCTCATCGTGTGTATGGGGCTTTACTGTTATCCTTATCTAGTGACCTTGATACCTTCTAAGTCACTGATATAAAGCAAGCAAACAGATGAGGAGATATGACTTTCTAGGTGTGTTGATGGGCTTTTATTCACGTCAAATGGGTTTTACGTTCCCATACAAATCTGTGGGCCTGCAAAACCCATTCGAAGCAGGTTAAATGCTGTTCAGTTCCTCTGCAGGTCAAATGCTGTTCAATTCCTCTGCAGGTCAAATGCTGTTCAATTCCTTTGCAGGTCAAATGCTGTTCAATTTCTTTGCAGGTCAAATGCCCCTGTCAATTAATTCTGAATAATTAAAAAAAAGTCTCAAAATTATGTCAAACCAGTGACATCAACAGAAACGCAAAGCCCATCAACAGAGGCCCTCATCTGCTTAACTGTTGAAGACATATGGGTTAACATACTAAAGGCAAATAGGCTGTTCACTTTGCAAGGAACTGTTCACTATGCAAGAGATTCTCTCCTTAACTCAGTGAATATGGTGAAAATTTACTTTGCGAAGAATGCCCAATCACAGTCAAAGACATTAAAAAAAACAGTATTTTGGCGTACACATGATTGGATGATGCAAGTCAGCAGAGCATTACCTAATTCTTCACCTCAGCTCGTTTGTCTTTTGTAAATCAACCCCAGTAACTCAAATGGGTTGATTTAGTAAGGGCAAATAGGCTGATCATTTTGCAAGGGAAGTTGCACTGTGTGCAGGTATTTTCTCCAGAGCTTAGTGAATGAGGTGAAGCTCTGCTAACTTCCATCATCCAATCACGCCCATATGGAAGAAAAATATATTTGAAACATATTTAAAAAATATCCTTCCCAAATATATTGACATATATTTAAAATGCTACAATTTTGGCCGTATTCAATATATTTCAATATATATATATATATATATATATATATAGATATATATATATATATATATAAATATATCATGTTGAAATGCGTTTTTTATATATTACAAAATAGTTTTCAAAAAATATGTTTTTTAAATATATTCTTCAGATTTTTTTTTTTACATATAAAAAAGTCATTTTAACGTATATTTTTACATATATTTGTAAATGCATTTGAAAAATATATTGAATACGGCCAAAATTGTAGTATTTCAAATATATATCATTATATTTGGGAAGAATAATTTTAAAAATATATTTAAAAAATACTTTTCTTCCATGTGGATGTGCAGGCAAAAATGCTGTTTTTTATTTTCCTTGCACGTGATTGGGTATTCTTTGCAAAGTAAAATTTCATCACATTTACTGGGCCCTGGGAAAAATTCCCTTGCAAAGCAAACAGCCTATTGGCCGTTAGTAATTTGATCCCATAGTAACAGATATATTCTGTCAGCTTTTCTTAGAAGCATGTTAGCAACCACAAGGCCTTGTATTTTTCTCAGTACCATTTCATTTAAGCTTCCTTTAAGATTATAACCAAAGCTAAGTTCTGTCGGTATAAATTGCACAAACCAACCACCTGTCTGGAACATACTCAGAGAACAGCATATTAATAAAAAAATATATACAGGCGTACCTCGGTTTACAAACGCCTCGGTTAACGTAATTTTTGGTTTACGAATGAAAATCCATTCCTCGGTTTACTAATTTTTTTTTTGCAATACGAAGTAAGTTTCCTCAGGATGCATTGCACCTGGGAGGTTTATAGCATCGGCCCTGTGCCTTTAACCACTAGCCTACAGGGCACTTATACCCCCTTCCTGCCCAGGCCAATTGCCAGCTTTCAGCACTGTCACACTTTGAATGACAATTGCGTGGTCATGCAACACTGTACCCATATGAAATTTTTATCATTTTTTTTGTGACAGATAGAGCTTTCTTTTAGTGGTATTTAATCACCTCTAGGTTTTTTTTTTTTCTTAAACAAACCAAAAACCACTGAAAATTTTGAAAAAAAAATGTTTATTCCTAGTTTTTGTTATAACATTTTGTAAATAAGTGATTTTTCTCCTTCACTGATGTGTGCTAATGAGGCTGCACTGATGGGCACTGATAGGTTGCACTGATGGACACTGATAGGGGGCAGTGATGGGCACTGATGAGGAGGCACTGGTAAGTGGCACTGATGGGCATTGACAGGCATCACTGACAGGCACTGAAAGGCAGCACTGATACATGGCACTGATATATGGCACTGATAGGCAGCACTGATAGGTGGCACTGACTGGCACTGATAGGCAGCACTGACTGGCACTGTTAGGCGGCACTGACTGGCACTGTTAGGCGGCACTGACAGGCGCTGTTAGGCGGCACTGATGCACACTGATAGGCGGCACTGACTGGTACTGATAGGTGGCACTGACTGACACTGATAGGTGGCACTGATTGGCAGCACTGATAGGTGGCACTGATTGCCATTGATAGCTGGCACTGACTGGCACTGATGGGTGACACTGAAAGGCAGCTCAGATGGGCACTGATATGTGGCATTGATGTGCACTGGTAGGCACTGATATGTGGCAATGATGTGGCACTGATGGGCACTGGCACGAGGCACTGATGAGCACTGACACAAGGCACTGACAGGTGGCACTGCTGGGGCTACACTGATCATCAGGGCACACTGATCATCAGTGCCCTGATGATCAGTGTACATGTCCCCTCCGCGGAATGCCGATTAGTACTGACAGCCAATCTAATTTCTTGAGGCCCAAAAATGTCAGAACAGTACAGATATCCCCCAAATGACCCCTTTTTGCAAAGTAGACAGTCCGACATATTTCATAAGAGTCATTGTGAGTTTTTTGTAATTTTTTTGTCATAATTTTTCGGAAAATGAAGAAATTAAAAAAATATTTTCACAATTTTTTTTTTGTAAACAGTCACCAGTACAGTACAGCATCAGCATATAACTGGTGTGGTGGTGATCAGGGACACTGACTGGTGACAGTACGAAAAAAAAAGATAATTTTTTTAAATTTCTATTAAATTTTTTTATATTTATTAATTTTTTTCTTTTTTTTTTTAAGATTTGTTTTTCATACTTCAGTATGACTAAAATATTATAATGTTACCATAATAACATTGCACTACTTTGGGGAAGTGATCAGTATTTTTTTTTTTTTCACACAGTTTGATTGATTATAGCAAAGGATTTATTTGCTATAAGCAAGCATTTAACTGAATGAAATCGATTAATTCAGGTTTTTTTTTGTTGTGATTAGCTGTGATTGGCCACAGCTAATCACCTGACACAGATGAGCTATAATTGGCCCAGCCTGCGCATTTGATCGCTGTGACCATTCACAGCTAGACACACTTGTATACAATAGATGGCATGAAAGAAGGCCATCCATTGTATACAACTGTCATGTGATCTGCTGTGATTGGTCACAGCAGATCACATGGTACTGGCAATGGGGCCGGTATACAGATCTGTCATCGGCTGTGTCCGAGGTACATGACCGATGACAGATCTCGCCACAGCGCGGCCCTGCGGGCACTCGCAAAGCACGATCCAGGAAGGACGTCATATGGCATCCTCCCGAAGGAACAAAGTGTTCACCTGCCCACCATTTGGCCATAGGCCGGGAGGCAACTAGTTAAAGTGTACTTTATAAACAGTTTTGAAACAGATAAAAGACTTTTGTTTTACTTTTTTCTGACCTCCGGAACGGATTAATTGGCTTTCAATGCATTCCTATGGAAAACCGCATTTTGTTTTATGAATTTTTCTCAATACGAAACGTCCCGGAGAACACAATAAATTCGTAAACCGAGGTACGCCTGTATTTATTTTTTTATGCTTCTTATAGAATAATAAGTAGACGTAAAAGATGATAAAGAGCAAGAACAAGAGTCAGAAGGATCTCTACCATCAAAATTATTATGTAATGAAATCTAATTTGTAAGTCATGGGAAGTGATTTGGATTGACATATGTGGAGTACTGCTTTTATCATGACTCAAAGTTACCTTATGTTTCAGTGAAAAATCCAGAGCTGGAACAGGTGGACGGTGGGCTGTGTCGCACATCGCTCCAGCAGCTGTTCTAAGCAGCTCTTGCAGTATGGTGCGTATCGATGGCACTACCTACTGCTGACCATAATGTAAGTTGGTTATGAATTAATGAATAGCTGTGCATCCAGCTACAACTCGGTGCTGTATTTACTGCAAAGTAAAAGGAAAAATACATATGTAAAATTAGCAAAATGGAAGTCTGTTTCAATTGCAAAATGTATTCGGTGACCACTAGCAAGATGTTAATGCCATGCAAAATCTTGTTTTCTTTAACAAGGCCAATCCATGTTCCCATTTGGATGTGAAATGTGTAACTATCGCGGAATCAGTTTTATAGTTTTAAAACACAAATGAACCTACATTAAAGCGAAAATAGATTTCTGCCCATTCATTTAGCTTTTTTTAATTGGGCATCTGCAATTTCCAAAGAACAGGCAAAATATATTGATATTAATTATTGCTTTTATGTTACTTTTTGATGTGTCATACTAAAGCAATGTTCCAGCTGCTATTCCTAATGAACTTCATGATCAAATGAGATCTGGCTAATTAGTAAGTTAATGAGGACAAGTTCATATAAATGTTTAAGTCAGTAATTTTAAGTTTCAAAGAAATCTTGAAATGGAGCAAGATCAGACGTTTTGGCTAAAACAGCATTTTGCGGGATTCTTTCTTTGAATCGAGTTGCACACGAAGCGTCAAGTCAGTGAGTGAGCCAGAAGAGTAAACATGAAATATGTTTTTTTTTTAAAATTGGCACAGCATGTTAAGGTCAAGGTGAATCTAACATATGTGAGAGAAGACCACAGTTTTGTAGAACAGATTGTGACGGTGAGTAAATAATGTTAGCATTTTAAATTCATTCTGCCAGTGCTACCGAAACAATATGAGAAAATCAGGTGTTTTGAGATTTTTTTTAGGTGTCAACACTTTTTGCAGAGAGCACCTAGTCTGCTTGGAGTCAGACTGCGTAATACTACTCTGTGTCTGGAAGCTACAGAAAACTGTGTAAACTGGATGCTTTAAATGGGAAATTAATACTACATGGTAATATCAATCTGGACAGATTTGGCAGTATCATTTCATCCAACTTCTGAATTATTACATGCTATATGTAAGCAATTGGTACTCTTTAATACATCACATTTTACCATTAGAAGACATAAAGACATAAAATATCATAGCATAAAATAAAATTTAGTAAACATGTAGAAGTATTATTTATTACTTAGATTATTTTGCTGTATACATATTCTGTGGGTGTTTTATACTGCAGGCTATTATTAAAACTCAAGCTATTGTAGTTTTTTTTTTGTCTTTATGTAAGTTGTACAGTAGGGGTCACTGTTGGATAGGTGACATTGATGTCATTGTAAATTTACTGTATATTCTGCAATTAAGTGAATAATTTATAATCTGCTCTGTCAGCGACCATTCTAAACTCTGGGAGAGCCCTCCCTCCAAATATATCAGCCTGGCCAACCACGTGTACTGGTGGGTATGCCAGTTTGATTCCAGCTCATATGCCATTCAGCATCAGGTGGGCATTTCACCAGGGGCTCTGAAAGAATGGCAGCAGGTCTTCACTTCCACACTTTGCAGGGATAGAAGAAAGTGCAGGAATTGGAGGGGGGGGGGGGGGGGTTATGTGCAACTGCAACTTTGGCAGCTTGTTGCTGTTTTCTTATAAGCAATAAAGTAATTGACAGGATTAATGGAAATGATCTGTGAAATCTCGCAATATCCCACCTTGTAATGTAACACATTTTTATGTGATTAATGTATTCTATAACTGGAAGCTGAGGAGTGAAAATGTACTGTGACATTGCTTCACATAGATGGCACTGGGAGGGGAAGGGGAAACTTATGTTAAAGTGATACTAAAAACAATTCTTTTGCACAGAGAATCCTTGATCCTCTTCCTCTTGGGTCCCCCCAGGGGCATATTTACCACAAGGCAAACAAGGCACTTGCCTAGGGCGGTATTTTTCAGGGGGGGAGCACCTCCCCATAGAAGAAGGGATGAAAGAAGGGACATGCGAGCCATGTGAACCAGGTGGGATCCGAGAGAGGCTGCTTGGTGGTGTATAATAGAGCCTGACTCTCGTTCCCGGGGATGTACGGAGCTTTGAAGATGAGTGTGTTTTTCTCTCAATCGCTGGGGGGGGGGGGGGTGTAGTGGAAGGCTCTCCTGGGTAAAGGGCAGGGTTGTTGTTCGTCTCCGCAGGAGGGGGAGGGGGGGGGGGGGGTGTTGGTCAGTGTCTATGGGAGCAGACGATTTTTGTGTTGTCTTGGGCAGCACGAAACCTAAATACACCACTAGGTCCCCCGTCAGTGGTCCTGGCTCTACCCCCCTGCTGAGTGCTTCCAAAGCAAGCCACTTGCTCCGGTGGTACCTGTGCTTGCTCACTCCCAAGCCACCTCTGTGTGTCTTTAAGACACACAGAACATGGTTTGGCCCCACTCCCTGCTCCCTCCTCATTGGCTGTGATTGACTGTGTCTCAGCCAATGAAGAAGGAGAGACCCAGGAGATCCTTTGCTCTCAGGCACATCACTGGATCGAGATCGGGCTCTAGTGAGTATTAGCGAGGCAGGGGGCGATGCTGCACACTGAAGGTTTTTTACCTTCATGCATAGAATGCATGAAAGTAAAAATCCTTCAGTCTTTAGAACCACTTTAAATTAAACATTTTGATGTTAGTTTTAATATTTTTTAAATTTTTTTTACAAAAAGAATAGTACATTCCTTTGTAGTTCCAGATCATGACCTAGTGCTGAAGAATAAAAGGGGGTAGTATTAATAACAAAGGGACAAGGGGCCTGCATGCTTTTTTTCCCAATTGCTACCCTGAACCAATATAACTTGGGTAAGTGACCAGTATTAAACTATTTGGAGCTCACACCACTGACTGGTGTTGGTGTCCAAAAAGCTCATCATGACTCATATGGAGAAGATGGGATGCTGCACACTGGAACACAGTTCAAATACAACGGAGCAGATATATATTATAGGGACTGTGCCACAAAATTCCAAAATAAATCCTCACAGTAGCTGCTATTCTCTATGGTGTAACCATCAAAACCTGGAATAATAAATATGGAACAGAGCTAACAGCACTCTTAACACATCCAACTGTCTATTACATATGTGCCCTTCTTATAAATGTGCTAAAAATGTGCAAACACCATATTATATATAACATCAGCTTATGAAAGGTGCAAAACAATCAATTATGTAACCTTTCCCTTTAAATAACACATACAATCCAATCCTTTATTTCATCTATCTCACAAAAGGAAAACGTTCTCTGTGCAAACAGATGCTCAGCACAGTATATGAACATGCAATATACAAAAGTGCCTTCATAAAGTGCTAGGATACCTCTATTCCACCAATTCTTAAATTATACCATCTGCCATTCAATATTACTCCATATAATCATAATGTGCTTTAGTGTCCATAATTATTGAAAATAGTTCACACATGAAGATAAACATCTGTCCTTTGTGGATTAAAACAGTCTAATACCACCAGGTGCTCTTCCACCACCCAATAGATTAAATGGACTCACCAAAGCATTATGCTGGTCAGATTATAAACCAGCAAAAACGCATGTAGCCCTGGGAGTGACATTCTG